TGAGAGTACCATGATTACAGGCAGCCTGATACATAAAAGAAAACAGTTACCTATTAGAAATTTAAAGGCGGGATCTGCTTCTGATCCTAGGATCTTGATTTTGTGGAAAACGGGGAAGGTTACTCCATAGTTTCCTTTGGCAAAGGATTCTATTTCCTGACTTGAGCCAGGCTCTGATTCTCCGAACTGGTTGCAGGGAAATGCCAGCACAGTGAAGTGGGAGGGACCAAACTCTCTGTGCAGCTCTTGCAGGGCGATGTAATTTTTGTCTGTGTATTGGCAGTAACTGGCCACATTTACAACCAAAGTTGCCTTCAGAAAAATAAAGTTAAAATAACTTTAGTTATTGGTTATTAGCTATTTAGTTATTAGCTATTATTTAGTCTGGTAAGGAAAAAGCCTGTAGATTTTGTAGAGATCACAATTAAATCTTGAAACGACATTTCTCGTAATCATGATGGTTCGTGTCGGAAGACTAAACATAATATGTCTGATCATCATTTCAGTAAACAAATAAAGATGAAAGCAGCTGGAGATATTTACTTTCAGACAATCTGTTGTAAAAACATAGTAAATGCATAAACTTAATCTTACAGCTTTGTTTATATATAAGTATTTAAAAAAGCAGATATTTAGGACATGCACTAAAATCATATTTACTAGATAAACTTCCAAAATCCAAACCCAACATTCTTAACTAAGATTAAAATCCACCAATTTGCCTGCTAGGCTGTATTGACCTGTGCTAAATAATACAATTTATTTTCTTGATTTGCCAGATCTAATATTTGATTCCTGGAGCAGGCCTAGATAATATAAATTTTCTCCAGCTTTCTGTATGAAGAATAGGAATTTAGCACAAAGCTGTGCCAAAAACTCCCATAACCAAGCCTTTTATTTACCTAGAAATGTACACATTTTTTGTCAGTATGGATTCAGGACAGAAAAAGTGAAATAATAACTTACTTTCCCTCTGTACTTCTCCAAAGAAATAATCCTTCCTCGTGAATCCTTGACTTCAAAAGAGTAAAAATCTTTGATTTTAGGTTTAAAAAACCTGAGTTGTAGCAGGCAGAGAACGGTGGTGCACAAAACCATTGACAGGAAGACAACAAAGATCCTGGCTTTGTGCACTGAGTATTTCAGAGGATAACTAGTTGTGAGAGGCTCCATTTTTGAAATCTTTGTGGAGGAGCCTGGGCAGGCCTGGAATGTGAAGGAGGAGCTGAAACATGAGACTGTCAGCTCAGACCGGAAAGAACAAGCTGTTCATTTTTGTCCCTGTTGCAAAAGATCTGTAACATATCACAGTGCCTGCTGGGCTTCTGAGCACTTATATAAAGTATCAGGATCTTTTGGGGCGGAAAAGGGATGGAAGGGGGGAGAAGAAATGGATTAAAAGGGTGTAACTATCACCTAAGGAGGCTCGGAGTGACTGACCTGTGTGGGACACTCCAGTGTGTGTCTGCACTGTCCTGAGAGCTGCTGGGGACAAGACTTGAGTTTGTGGTGCAGCTCCAGCATATCCCATGGGCCCTCAGATGTGTCTCAGAGTTGCTCTGCAGGAAGCAGCTGTGTTATCAGGCAGACTTGGAGAAGCATTTCGGGGGACAGCTGTTCAGGTAGAAAAAAGGCAGGATGGCTGAAACCACCCTGTTTACAAACTCAGCACTGCATCTCATCAGCTGCTGTGGGATCACAGATTAAATAAATGGGGTGGGAGGTCTTTCTCCTTTTTAATGCCTTTATTAAAAAGAATCAGCTCCGGTGGGGAGAAATCGACAGGTCGCACCCACGCCGCCGCTGCTCCCAGGAGTGGCACGGAGCAGGAGGAGGGTGATGATGATGATGATGCAGTCCGCTGGTCTGCAGGCAGAGCTGGGGCTTCCATCCTCATGGGAGATTAGGAGATTCCCCTTTTTCGGTTTAACATTTCAGGTCCTTTCTCTAGTTAATATCTTTTTAGGTTAGGGTGAGAAGTAAAAAGGATCTTAGCAGGTATTGAATTAAGTTCCTCATCCTTAGACATCACTTAGGTCTCTTAATTCTATGTTGGCTCGTTGTTTTTAGGGGTTTTCCTGGAAAACTACAAAATTTGGTGAAATGCATTCTCATCTGCATATTAGCTCTGATGTCACTCCCCTGCCCTGCTACCTGCAAGGTCCGGTGTCACTCCCGGGCAAGCATCAGGGGGACAATGGCTAATCACCAACCATTAACAGGTAATTGAAGAAGAACTCTTAACAATAGGTGGCTGCAACATGAAGCTAACTTAACAGCAACTGGTTCAACTTGTTTTAACTGCAACCTTAAAAAAAAAAGATAACTTTTTATTCATAACAACAGACAGCTGTGTAAAACTCTTTTCACTACATGGAGCAGAGAAAAACTCCTTGGCAATAGGCTGTCATAAAGGAAGATAATATAATGTGGATTTTTTTACATCGAGAGTGGGGATGATAATGGAAAATGGGTTGCTTTCTTAATTGCTACTGGCTACCTGGCAACGAGCTGTAGTGAGATGGTAAGACTGAAGGTCTGCATGAGAGGAGAGCTGAAAGTCTCAGGTCTAAACCAAGCTCCAGTGGTGTTTTGCTGCTTGTGAATTTCTGCTTACGCTCTTTCCCTCCCAGTGCAAACCACCATGTACGAGTAATTTCTGTCTCAGTTGGTTTTCTTTGTCACCCTGATTTTTTGCCGCAATTAGATGATGCATTTTAAAGGATGGAAATAGAAGGGGCTTTTCTGGGTGTGAAATCTTCAATCTGGTTGTTTCTTCCTTTTTGGTGACTTCAGTATTACTACCAGTATAATTGATTTGTACAATATCATAGTGGTATGTTCAATTATTTCTATAATCTCTAAATACTTAAAATCCACATTCATTTTGTTTAACAAGACTATAGGGACAGCTTCACACTGCTCTACAAAACACAGAGATGCTGGGCAAACACTGTGAAATTTCAGTATTTGTATATGAGGACATGTTAGGCTTTGTCTCTGCCTGGCAGTGAGGACTGTGAGCATGGTGTTTTGATGGTGGGGAAGAAAACACACAGACTTCTGTGCTGAAATGAACAAAGCTGTACTCAACAAGCAAGCACAGGTGACTAATGCTGACCTTAAAGGCAAGAACAAATGTGTTTGGTTACAGAAAATCATGTAACATCCTGATGTCTAAGCTACATCTCAAGTATTTGCAATTTGCATCTAATATTATTTCAGAACAAACTAAAACAAACAAACAAAACTTAATATATTATAATACTGGTGCACCTAATAATTACCCAGAAGCCCGTTATATGAACTCCTGTGTTCATATAACACATATATATGTCTCCTTTTGTTACTCTAAACTAAAATCTTGCTCAAAATTTGTCTAAAACCCAAAATATGTTGTTTAATATTGTCTGGGCTCTTACATTTTAAGTTGTGATAGGTTTTTCAAGTTTTATGGTTTTCTGACACAAATTGCTCTATGAATGGATTTGAAAAAATGCAAGTAAAAAGACCAATTTAATCTTTACTTAGTGTCCCTTAATATATTAAAAATACAAGATAGATAACCTTAAAAATAATGACATGAGGAAGCTGCAGTGGTAGTGAGAAGGTTCAGAAATCAGAAGAGATCTAAGTTCTTTTTCACGGGTGGAGATCAGAGAACCTGCTTTGTTCCAGGCAGAAAACCAGTCCCCCTCTGGGAAACCCCCAGACCCCTAAACCTATGTTACTATGTGGCTGAAGGTGCCTTGGGTCACCAAAAGCCAGTGATGCAGCTTTAGTGCATGAGTGACACAAATGTAGGTTTTTTTTTTTTTTTTTTAAATTTTTTTTCTTCCCTGACACAGGCTTTCTGTGCCAGTTGACTCAGCTGTACATATGTGAGCAGAAAGGTTTGTTTTGCACTATTTCCCCCAGTCTGCTCGCTCTTTCTCGGCGCGTCTGACCGTCTGCCGGCGCCGCGCTCAGCCCGGCATCCGCGGCTGTCGCTCTTAGGCAAGGCCACGGCAGAATTAAAAACAACACGAACTAAGGCCAGGCTGACATTAAGCCTTGGCTAACCTGTGTTTTTGGCGTCCTGCCGCGGGTGCAGGTGGCAGGCTGGGGGCGGCCGAGGAAGGATCGGTGCGGCACTCGATGGCAGCGGCACGGCCCGGGGGCCAGGACAGCGCGCAGAAAGCACTCCGGGTGGAGGGAGGAAGGCCTCCGCAGGGATTTCTGAAAGAGCCTACGGCCGGGAATCTGTGCGAGGTGAGTGTCGGTGTTTCCTATTTCCCACTGCAGCGGCTCCGGCAGCGCAGCTGTCTGTGCAGGCTGCCCAGGCACAGCAAGCTCCAGGACAGCATCCTCTCATTTTTTAAATTCACACCGAAGTACTGCAGCAAGTCCAGAGCAGCGTAGCAAAGCTGGTGATGGGTCTGCAGCACCAATCCTTTGAGGAGCTGCTGAGGGAGCTGGGGGTGTTTATCCTGGAGAAAAGGAGGCTCAGGGGAGACCTTATCACTCTCTACAGCTGCCCGAAAGGAGGTTGCACCCATGTGGGGGTCAGTCTCTTCTGCCAGGCAACCAGCGACAGGACAAGAGGAAATAGCCCAAGCCATTAGGTTTAGGTTGGACATCAGAAGGACTTTCTTCAGAGAAAGGGTAATTAGACATTGGAATGGGCTGCCCAGGGAAGTGGTGGAGGCACTATCCCTGGCAGTGTTTAAAGAAAGACTGGGTGTGGCACTTAGTGCCATGGTCTGCTGAAATGGTGGTGTTAGGTTATATTCTGGACTTGATGACCTCAGAGGTCTTTTCCAACCTAATTGATTCTGTGATTTTTCTCACAGGAGCATGCTGCTGTGGTGAAAGGAAAGCTGTACCCAGGGTTCCCCTTCCCAGTGCGCAGACGGCTTAGGGCAGCAGGCTGCGCAGACAGCTGACACTGAGTGCGGTGAAAGGAAAGAGAAAAAAACTGGTCTTATCCCTAGCCAAGAAGTGTCTTTGGCAGACTAGTCTTATTTTGCTGTGATGTGGGACACCCAGGCATGGTTTTAAGTTCCATGGGACTGCAAGAGGCCACAGGGTCTTTACCAGCATGTTCACATCTGGAAAAGTTATCAACAACTGCCAGAAGGGTAGGAGAGCTCAAACAGACCTCTCGTTTGCTTCCTTCTGCTTCTCCTTTACCGCATGTGCAGCTCCTGCAGACCCAGCCAAAAGTGCAGAGCAGTCCAGAGGCCTGGATTTGGTGTGGTGTGCACTCATGGGAGGAGGAGCTTGCCTTGCATGGCTGTTTCTTCTCAAATGCATAAGGCTTTATTAATTGACAAAGGAACGCCGCCCAGGGGACACCCACACTCTACCCACCTTAGAAGAGATCTACTGGAGGGCCTTTAGAGTGCAAATCAAACTTCCAGTACTCTGGGTCGGTCTAGGAGAGACGATTCTAGGGGAGGCTGTTTCCCTCCGTCAGCAACAGAGGGAGCTGACGGAACGTCGAATGAGCTTTGAGAGCGCTGACTCCGGCTTCCAGCAGTGCTGGGGGAAATTGGGGAAGGGTTTGCATGCTGCGTGTCCACAAAGGGCTTCCTGGAAGATGTAGGGAGCTTCACATGGTTGACTTCTTGATTAATAATTGAAATATTTAGAAAACGAATAAAAGATGCTCCTAAGTGTTCTGGATATGTTTCCATGGTTATGGTCAGAAAGTGTAATTCTATTTTCTACTAAGGAGAATACCAGAGCTTTTCACTAATGCATGCTCAGGTCTAGGAAACTCTGTCTCTAAAGCAGTTTGAAGTCTTTCCGTCTTCTTGAATAGAAAGTTCTTCATGCTGCCTCTACAGGCACTGGAGAAAACCTGTGTGGTCCTGGGAAATCAGATGTTAATTTTCTAACAAGCAGGATTTTCCTGCAACTAGTCAATCAACCTAAGGCCAGACATGAGCTGCAGTAGTAAAAAGGCATTCTTTATAAAGGGAATGATCAATCTGATCTTGTTTAGACATCTCTTTTAGGATAAGATGAATAGTGTTGTAGAAATATGTTTTCCTCACTGACAGAAGGAAAGCAGGGTGACTGCTCCAAATGTCAGTATTCACACTGCCCCCCTTAGTGTACAGATCTGCTTTCTGAGTACTGCTCTTACACAATCAGTGCTGTTCTAAAAAGTGCTTGACGTGTATTCCCATGCACATTTTTAAAAGGAATTTTTTCCATTCAAACTGTTTTTACAGTAACAGCTCAGATGCCTAAGAAATTCTCTATCGTGAAAACTTCTCTACCTAGCAGTCATGCTGCAACGGGTTTGGAAGGAAGGAATAACAGGAGAGCTGAAACATCAAATTAATAGGTGAGTTATTCCATATTCAAAGGCGCAGACAGAATATTTGCTTTTCTGATGTGTTTTTTTACTTTGTCTTTTGCCTGGAATCAGTTATGAGGATACTACCTTATTGACATGGATAACAATAACATGAGAAGGTCCATTTAGGAAATGTCTGCTGGAGAAAAGTCAGAAGTAACTTTTTTGTCATTTATTTGATTCAGCTTTTTTTTCTTTTTCCCTAGGTTATTATCCTGTAAGCTAAAATCAAGACTAAACTAATGAAGCCCCCAAGATGAGTTTGTTACCTCTGAGAGAAAGCGTATATTGAAAGAAATATTCATGAAGAACAAGAATGACTCAGTTTCCCACTTGCTTTAACAAGAAGATAATTGCTTCAGTTCTTCAGGATGTAGCTGTTGATTTTGACACACAGACAGAATGAGGTGCTATGAAAAAGTTACCGAAAAAGTTACCAAAAAATTTACCAAAAAGTACCTTTCTGAGAACATTGTTGTGAAAATAGGTGGTCAGATTTTGATCAAGGTTGAAAGAACACAAGGAATCTGCTTAACATGTGAAACAAAGACTTCAGAACACTTCCTGTTTAAGTGTTATTTTCTATTGCTGTACACTTTATCAGTTTGTTCTTTATAGTGAACACTGACACACAATTTTTTTTCTCTTTTTTAGGCAGTATCCATGCCTTTTTGGACCATAAATCTATGCTTCAGCTACCCACCTTCATTAGTTTCTCTTCTGTACAAAATTGACTTCTTGTGTGAAACATTGGTACTTATGTTTAAAAATCTATTGCCATAATATGACACTCAAAACCTCTTCTCTACTTTACTGCTATCTCCTTGTGACAGTTCAAATACTAAGATGGAACTTTTTAGTCAGTGGTTATAATTTCTGTGTTCTTTCCTCCCTTGGATTGCACCAGTTCCAAAGCTGATATGAAGAGGTTAATAGCTGCTTTCACATAATTACTCTTTTAACCATAACTATTAAGTGAACTTGCTTCAGAAATGCATACCTAATATCTTTTTTTATAGCATTTTATAATCCTTAATTCATATGATTGAGAAATTTCTGTGGGGGTATTAAACTGAAGTTCTAAGAAGAGGAGGTGGTGGTATCAGTATCGATGGACTAATTAGGGTTGTCGTCTGATGCTTTGTAATAGTGGTAATCTTGAACATCTCTGGATGTTGGTTAGAGACCGTGCTCTTGTATCATTCTGGGAAACCTGATTCTTGGGACAATCATTTAATTTTCTTAATAAACAAACTAGTTTTGAAATTCTTCCTTTCAACAAAAAACAGTGCTTTCTTTCCTCTCTCTCCCTCCTCTATCAACTGATTGGAGAGTCAGTAAATTTTAAAACTCTTAACATAAACAACTAAATTGTTTTAATAGTCTTAGGGCAATCTAGCCAACAGAGAAATGGAATGTAACTGCTCTTTTTTGATGAGATGATAAACTCTTTCCATGAAGTAATGTACAGAAAACATTTTTCTCTTATAATGAAAACATCTTTTAGAAGATGAGTACATGTCGTTCTGTTTAAATAGAGTCATAGAATTATTTGGGTTGGATGGAATATTATTTAAATCTAGTCCAAACCACCTGTAATGATGAGGGACATTTTCAACTTGGTCAAGATGCTGAGAGCCGTGTCCAGCTGGGCCTTGACTGTTTTCAGGGGTGGGGCATCCACCACCTCCTCAGGCAACGTATTGCACTACTTCACCACCCTCATTGTAAAAATCTCTTCCTCACACCTAGTGTCAATCTCCCCTCCTTTAATTTAAAACCATTACCTCTTGTCCCATCACAACACGCCCTGCTAAAAGGTCTGTGCTTCTCTTTCTTATCAGCCCCCTGTAAGTATTGAAAGGCTACAATAAGGACTCCCCAGGGTCCCTCCTTCAGGCTGAACAACCACATCTCTCAGCCTGTCCCCAGAGAAGAGTGCTCCAGCCCTCTGATCACTTTTGTGGGTCTGCTCTGGACCCACTCCAGCAGGTCTTTCCTGTGTTGAAGGCCTCATAGCTGGACACAGCATTCCAGGTGGGATCTCACCAGAGTGGAACAGAGAAGAAGAATCACCTCCCTTAATTTGTTGGCCACACAGTTTTTGTGCAGCCCAGGATACAATTGGTTTTCTGGGCTGTAACTGCCCATTTCCAGCTCATGTCCAGCTTTTAATCCATCCGTGCCCCCAAATCATTCTGGGCAGGGCTTCTCTCAATCTGTTCATCCCCCAGCCTGTGTTGATACTGGAGGTTGCCCTGACCCATGAGCAGCACCTTGAACTTGGTCTTATTGAACCTCATGAGGTTCATGTGGATTCTATGTAAACCTAGATTTATACTGTAACATACACATAGAAATTTGAGCTGGAGCAAATATATTCAGAGTTCTAGATCCAGGACTACAACAATCACTTCCTAAACTGTGGTATGGGCATCTTTGCAATACATTATGGTGTGACCAAAATGTGAGTTCTTCCTAAAACCATTTGAAAGTCAGTCTTGGCTAAACCCATATGAAAATCTACTTATCTTCTCAAATACAGTAATAAATGACTATTTACTTTGTGCAGCCTGTTACTATAAAGGAATGGGATCTGTTGAGAATAGTCTGTTGAAAATAGAATCTTCTCACATACCAGTGAGTGTGTGTGGTCTCTCTGTGGGACAGAATATTACTTCCTTGCATACACAATCAATTTTCCACAGAAATGTCTGCTCTAATTTTAGAGGGACACATATCCAAGCAATGTGATTAGCTTTCTGCCAAGTTGTCAGTATAAATCTTACAGAAAATGCCTCTGAAAGCTGAAGGCCTGCTGTAGAACAGCTGGAATATATAAAGGAGAAACATTTCTATTTTCCAGTTATGTTTTTCTAAGACCTTTCTTGTCATATTGCAGCAGGGTTTTGAAGAAGAGTAACACAGACTGTGCATGGAAGGGCAGATTTCACAGACATTGGACAGAAAGAATTCACTAATCTTGAGTGGGTGATAAAAATATCCGCTGCATTTTCACATTACTATATATAAATAATTACAGAACAAACAGAAAATTGGCATCAGAACATTTATCTCAGTGACCATTGCGAAGAAATGCATATTATTAGGAATTGATGATGATGTACCTGTCTTGTGTGAGCTGATCTGAGTCTTTGAATCTCGGTTAAAGACCTAATGATTCAGATCTCTCTTTCTTTATTCTTGCTGCATCACCTCTTTCTTTCATACCCAAGGAAATGCTACGTAATTTTCAAGATAATATTCCTCAGAATATAGAATATATTGTAGCTATTTTCCACTTTATATTGCAGAACTGGTTTAGGGAATGGGATCACAGAGTGGAGTGTCTGTGAGCCTGGTTTGAGGGAGGGCTCTGACATCCGGGGGGTGTCGTGCTGTAATCAATGGCCCTGCAGTGTGTGCACCACAGAACTGCTCTTCCCTCACAGATAGATTTACTGACAGCATCCAGGAAACCTGACGGCAAGCTCATAGCACTAGTCCAAATGCCAGTTCAGAAGAGGACAAGAGGTCGCTAAGGTTTTACAGGTGACCCAGGCAGTAACTCCAGATGTACAGGTTTGGACCTTCTTCCACTGCTAAGGTGGCCTTATTCAAAGAGCTTTGTTAAAGTGTGTATGATCATTACCAGTGAAATCATGTTTTATGGAAGGAAAAATACCTCAAGTCTCTCAGGTTAGAGCAATATGATTTGAACACAATTTGATATTCTGTATTTGTTATTCATTTCCCATCTCAGAGACGGGCTGTTTTGAGGCTTTTGTGTAATGACTATTGAGTCCTTTGGTGGGATTTGTGTTATCCACGATATTTAAATATATTTTTCAACTGACTTCTTAATTTAGTCATATTTTCACTTCAGGTTAGCTTCCGATGGTCCCAGAGGTTGGATATAGCATTGCAGTAGGTGGTGATGTGAAGGTCTGGGAAAATATTAGTTGCATCTGGAAAGGCACATTCCAATTTTTAGAAAATTGGAAAATAAGATGCTACAGTCTACATCTACACTGGAAAAGCAAGTGCATCCATCTCTTCCAGTAAGTGTTACAGAACAGTACAAAGTGTCTGAGAGCTACCTGCCCACAGCTATTTCTAGGGTTCTCACAACCTCTGAACACATAGTATTCCAGCTTTTTTCAGTGTGATTAACCCCTAGCATTTTACCTTGTTCTCCTTTGGCCCCCATCTGATACACTGGTCGTCCTAAGACATTAATTTCCTGTCAGCTTTTCTGTTTCAGAACACTCCGAGCCGTGTAGGGCTGTGCCGTGGAAGGGGCAGGGGAAGTGTGTTACATGGACTGTTGAGTACATGAGATCAGGGCATGCAGAGACAGTGGAGTTTTGTTGCTCTTGCCTGTAGGGAAAGGTCAGACTTTCCCTAGCACTGTTGCTGGTTTCATCTGCGGGGGAGTTGATTAATCTACTACATAAAATATCCTGTGAATGACTGGGCATTAGGGAGTGTGAATGATCAAGTGATTTGAAAACAGGGGGAACCTGAACAGAAATTATGCAGGCATTCCCATACTTACTTGGGTGTGATAGAGTTCATTAAATATCAGACTAATATTTTGGTGTCTTCTGTCTTGTACAGATGGTTTGTTTTGGTGCTCTGGCTATTTTTCTTTATGAATCTGGATTTCACCCCACGTAGAAGAAATTGGGGTTTATGTGATAGATTTGTATTTTCTTTCACTGCTTTTCTCAGTGCAAATAAGCCTCATTTCAGAGCAATAGTATAAGGATAAATCCCAGTGGTTTTTTTTCCCTTGATGACAAATGAATGTAGGCTTTAAGAATACCAGGTTTGATGCCACCCACCTACTTGTTAATTGAGTAGTTTGATGGGACAGTACTACTTATCACTTCCTGAGTCTCATTTTGAGAATTGATGCAGGCATTTGAGTACCAAAATATTGTAAAAAATCAATGGTATTCGCTATTAACCAGGTAAAAAAAAACCAAAATGGCACAATGAAATTTAATTTTCACTAAGAAATGCCTGCTAACATGTGCCTGTTATGCATATTAACATGTCTGTTATGCATATTAATGTACCTACGAAGTAGGTGAATAGAGCTGAAAGGGTAACCAGTATGATTTGGGTTAGATGAATTACAAGAATAGAGAATTCTGGAATGAGTTAGAGATGATTTAATCTGTTACTGCCTCATTGGGTATTAACAGCTACCATCATTAAAGAAGAAAATTATATACAGAACTTCAGAAATGTTACTATTCATTGACTATTACAATTAAGTGCCCTAAATCTCTTGAATTATTTTACTTGGTAGGATTCAGAAAGGCTTTGAAAATTTTTCAAAAGTAATAAAATATCTAGATATTAGAAATACATTTTTTTTTCCTGAACAAGTTTTTTTTCAGTAATGTTTGACCTTTTTAGGGTTAGAATGCAGTGTTACAAATCCCATTGTGCAGATCTGAGGTCATTCCTGCAAACCTTCTTAATTAACTCCACAAAATTTTAGACACAGAAGAAAATCTCTGTAATCTACTTGCTCATCTTTAGAAAGAAGGAGTACTACAGCTGAGAGGAGAAATATTTGCTGTCTGTCCAATTGAATTTTGGAATAGGGGATAAGGTTAAGGACAGAGTATGGAAGGGTTTTATGATGCAAGTTTTCCACAGCTGTCATTAAAATTTTATGTAGGATGTGTATGTGTATATTTACAGAGTACAAATATTCTATCAGTGTTGAATTCTTTTTTGAACCAGAGAGGTTAGTTGTAGAGGTAAATATCATAATCTGCCCTTGAAACTTTTAAGACTCATTGTAATTACTACCCTCTGGGGAATAATTTGAAGAAGGCTTCAAAAACACAGAGAAAATTGCAAAAATGTGTGTCTTTGGCATTTTGCTTTATACACTACAGCAATATAATTTCTTATACATGAGAATCTAGCATTAAGTCATTAAAAGCACTAATAATCTGGATTTTTTCATAGTGCTGAGGAGTCTTCACAGCCTAATGTAGACAGTGACCACAAAAGATGACTCTTCTTTCTCACACCTGTATTGGCTTTTGTTTCTCATTACTGTGCTGTCATGAGCTTAGTGTAGTGTGATTGAAGAGCATTTGTTTTAGAAACCTTTTCCTGTGGTTAGGTGTCGGTGGGGCAGATATTTATGGGGAAATAAACTACACAGAGAGTAAAAGAATTAATTACTGTATAAGGGGGTTTTGGAGCAGGAAAGCACACAGGAACAATTCTGCTAATAGCAAATTCTGACAAAAACAAAGGCAAAAAACCAGAAAACCACCATATTTTATATTAATCATTAAACAAAATATAGTGGACCCTATTCTCAGTTCTACCTGACTGAATTCATGGAGGTTTCAAAAAGCTGGCGAAATGTGGCTTCTACCTGGTCTAGTGTGTCTAGTGTTTTGAGCCTACCCAGGATAAATTAGGCCCTTCAAGCATCCTCTGAACTGTGTAGATGCAAATATAATGAGAATGTGAAAGGCTTAGGCCCTAGAAAAAAATGGTGGTGTTTTGCGTTACTGATTTGTGTGTGATGAAGCTTCAAATACAGGAGGTCAAGAGGGCACCCAAAATGAGCTTAGGAGTGTTACCACTGTCCACACCTTTGGAGCAAGAAGTGAGGCTTTATACTACTGGCTGGTGCAATGATTAAGTTAATTCCTCCAATGTGTTGTTTTTTCACAGACTGTGAATTCTTCTGTGTGTTTCAAGAAAGATGGTGATATGTCCCCTTCACATAAAATGCTGCAGGACATAACTCTCATATAGTTTCCTTCAGCTATAGATCTCAATACAACTTTCAAATCAAATAGATCTGCCTCCACTTAAAAGTAAGTTAAATGTTTCAGCAATCAGCCTTGGCTATCTCATAGCCAGTAACCACAGCAGCAGTTTCATTGGGTGGACTTTGAAATACCTTTTTTTGGAAGACAGCAGTGACATAGTTTGTGGTTTGGGTGACACCTTCTATATTCTGACTTATGTCTTTTTGGAGAGAAGGCAAAAATTAAACACTCAAAAGTTACACATAAATACATACAAATCTCAGGTCTGAAGATTTTGAGCACTTCGTAAGCTCTAATAAACTATTTATGTGTATGTGTTTATAATTGTCCCTGGGAAGATTTTTTCAACATACCTTTACAAGTGTTCGTGTACATCCATGAACAGGATAAAGGTTTGTTGGTATGATATACACTGATAATGCACAAGGTATGTCCCAAAGCTGACAACAATAGCAACAGTGGTCTATGGAAATGATTTCTGCTGCAACAGGCAGGTCTATAATTAAACAGGCCGGTGGATTCAGAGAAATTTCAGTTACCAAAAAAAGATGCCAGACCTTGGATTATGGTAGCACATTCTTTGTTTCAAGGGTCATGCATGGTTTGGTATTAAATGTTGTACACCATCTGCTGCTGACCTACATGACATAACAGGGTGTTCTGAAGCTAATTATTACAGTGATTTGTTTTACAAGTGCAATGTGCCCAGCATCAGGGACAATGGAAACAGTACTCCCATCATACATTTACTGAGCAAGCCCTGGAGATGAGGAGCAGAGTTTCCTTAATAACGTTCTGCATTTTCCCCTGCCATCTGCAGGGGAAATGTTATCATTAACTCAAAGATGATGGAAAAACTGTACCATATAGACTCTTTCCTATGTCTTTCTCAGTCACAAGAATCACCTTGGAACAAGGTTGTTTTTGAGTCTGTATTTGTTGGAGAAGGAGCCTCATTTCTGGTGGAAGAAATTAGGGTGGGTGATGTGTCAATGTAAAATCCTGGGTGAGAGATTAAAAATTCTAGTGGGTAAAGTGTAACTCAGATGCTGCTGTGCAAACATACACATCTGAGGAAATTAGACTTACAAAGACCTGGGCTTGTCAGAGGTATTCTCCTTCATGTAAGTGGAATGCTTGCCAGTAAAGTTTTCATGGAAGAACTCTCTAGGTGCTTTTCCATGGTATCTCTCCCCCAAACCATACTGCCCCTTACCCCAGCTTATTATCTACTTTTTTCTTGCAGAAAGAAAATGTACTGTTTTTTTGCAGTAATTTTTAGTAGCTTTCTTCTAGACTAAACATGCTGGGCTGGATCCTTGAGAATCTCATTGCTGTCACTGTAGGACCTGCTGCACACATCTGGAATGGACTCTTGATTTGAAAGCCATTGAAGGCATTGATTTGAATTCCAGCTCCAAACACATTTCACATCTGGCTTGGATAATAAAGGAATATGCCTTGCAGTTTGGATCAGTGATGGAGAAGTGCAAGTACTAGACAACTTACTTTCTTTCAGTCTTTCACCATTTTTAACTAAAGTGGCTACCAAAGCATTTGATACTGATTTTTTTTTTTTTTTAGCAGAAACAAATGGAAAAGGTAAACTAGACTACAGAAGAACTCTGCTGAAAACATATGTAGCACTTCCCAGTATCATATTCTACCTTACTGAACATCCAGACCTAGTGACATCCAGAATTAGCTGCATGTATTGGAACTCCTAAAACAAAAAAAGCTGATGACTGGATTAATGATTCAGTTTTCCAGTGACAATCTGATTATTTTTCCATTAGTAAGAGGAACTCTCATTAAATTATTTTGTTCAGCATAGGCTATGTTTTTCTTGTATGTCTTTTGCTAAGATCACTCTAGCAGTCAACGTCTTTACAGTTCAATTCAAAACACTCTTTTAGGTTCACATTTGAGAATTTGACTTCAATCTGATTATACACATATATCTGCACCTATTGTTATGTGACACTACTATTAACAAGAGGATTTTGTGTGACTATAGCTGAGATGCTAGATAAGAACTGGCCCTACCTGCTGCAGTCATGAGTCAGCAATCTGAAGGTACTGGAGTACAATGCTTCCACGTATGAACTCATAAAGACTGACATGTAAATAAATAGCTTTAAACTCACAGGTATGTGCCCCTTCAATTCAGTCTGACGTCTGCATCACTGATAAAGATATCGAAATTTGGAAATACTCATTGTCTTACTTGTGAAATAAATGAGCTTGAAATTTTCCTTATGTCAACTCAGAACTGGGGAGTGGCCAAATTGTACATAAATGAAGGGAACAAAATTTTCTTTCTTCCTGCTGTCAAATTTTTGTTTCTTGTTTGTTTTGGATTGGCAGTTGTGGAACATTGAAACCAGAAAGAGGTTGAGAAATATGTTTGGCCACCTGTCTGTAATTGGAGCTGGAATCATTGTGTTCTGAGCAGGTGAGTAGTAAAGTTTATTCCCAGAAAGAGCCTTGTTGCATTTATTCAGGCAAATGACCCATACATTTTAGCTGATTTTCTTGGCTTTGTTCAAATGTGATTTACCTCTTCCCCCACCTCTCACCCACATCAGAAATCATTAGTAGATTTATTGTATGGCAGGAAAGCAGCCAAAGAAGATGTAACCTGCTTCTGGAGTCTCTGTTTCTTACTCTCCTTCCAAAAAACTGTCACCATTTGCAGAATTTCACTATGCCTTGGAGACTGTGACTGGTTTTGTGCAAAGCCTGAGCATGAAATCGTTTTGTTTCCAATGGGTCTGAATTTTAGATATAATGGTCTGTCCTGTGCTGGGGAGCAGTATGTAATTTCGATTGCCCCACCACTGATATGAAGACAGCATCTGTCTTTCCAAATGCACAGCAAAGCACAGCTGTTAGGAGTTGTACACCTCTCTAGCTGTGTATCTGTAAGGAAAGGCCAAGTCATTGCTGTCTACAACACAAGAAGGGATGGATTGGTTGACCTTTGCATTGTCAAGGCTGTATTTTTTAGCAGCAGGTGAATATTTTGCATTTAGAGATCATTTCAGTGTGTGGGCTCAGATGACAAAGATCAGATGTACTCTTGTGGGTTTTTTTTCATCCCACTTTCTGTTTCAGATCTTTGACTCACACATGAAGGGGTTGAGGAGAGACTTGTGCATGATGAATGCTTCTGTGATTTTAAAATCATATGTTAGTGTTCCATTTTAATTAAATGGAAAGATAATAGCAAGGGTAGGCTGACTTTATTAACTCACAATGAAACTAGTATCTCTTGATAAGAGCAGCAGTGGTAGTTTTATTTTTGGCTTCACAAGATGCTCTGGTTGTGATTGTATGAGGTCTGAAAGGTGGAGGTACAAGGAGGTACAGGCACACCAGCTGAACAAACAGTTAATAAACTGCATTTGCAACTGTATTGTGTGGGTTAGGTTACAAGGATGCAGGTGTAACATCCTGCCAGTGCCAAGTGGCATAACCTCACTGCAGTAAGAAATAGTTTTGGTTCACATTTCCTCTTGGCCAAAGCAGTGAAAAAAACAGGAACTTCAGAGTTGAAGTTGATGATAAAATTCAGTGTGAACCTGTGAACTACAGTTATGGTTGACACATTAAGTTTAGGTAACATTGATTTCTTTTTCTAGGTTTGAAGTTAACCAGTTAACCAATTCTAATATTGGGGCAGAGTTAAGATAACTGCATGAGGAGAAAAAAAATACATGGAGTTAATATTAATTGTTACTAAAATTAGAGCAGCATTCTTACACTAAATTTCGCTGTGGAAGTTTCCAAAATATCAATTGACTTTGGGATTACATTGTAATTGTTGTGGTTAAAAATAGTCCAACAGCACATCATCATGGATCTGTAAATAAATTTCAGTACCATAAAGTCCATTATACAAGCACAACACAGTTACATTTCTTGCAGTAATTCAGGTTTGTGTGTGCATTTTTAGTGCTTCCAAGTAATTCAACATGTATCTGAAAAATCTTTAAGAGCCGTTTTTGTGGGAAAACCTCCTGTTACTAACCCTTACTAATATAATTAAAATCCTCAAATAAATCTATTGCAATTAATGCCAGATACCTGTTTCTCAGATACCCAGAAGGACTGTATTGAACTTGCTGATTTTATTTCAGTGTCATACTAGTTTTAAGTGTGAATTTCAGCAGGAATCTCTTCTGATTTCTCATAGGATTAATGTCAGTAATATCCATAAAAATTGGTAAAATGTATTGCAAGGTATTTTTGGTATTTTCAGTCCAACCCCCATATTAATGTGCAAAAGCCATATCCAGGAGCTAAACTTTAACAGTAGCAGTGCTTCCAGGCAGAGTATTCCTTACTGCCTTTGGTAGACTGATACTGGAACAGTGCATCAGACTGATGGTACTGTATTCACCATTTCCTAGCAAGGAACTGGTGCAGCAGCTTCAAGCTGCACAGATTTTCATAGAGCCTTGGAGTGGGAGGGAGAAACAAGGCAAGGGAAGGGACAGAACCAAAGAATACATGGTAAATTGCCAGAAAGCTCTTTAGCAGTGCAATGTAGTTTTACACTGCTTCTCTGCTGGGCGTGGAGTCATACCTGGCTTTGGCAAAAATCACCTTGTGGATTTTTCATGAAGAGCAGGAAATAATTTACATTAAATGGCTCAGCAGTTGAACAGAGTGTAGATTAGTGGCTCAGACTGTGTTCATGGAAAAGAAACTTGAGAGACAACAGGAATTCTGTCCAGCTGAAATGGCACAGCTGCTTGGCTCCTTCCTGCTGTCAGTCACCTCTGCAGTCAGGGTGTGCTTTGATACTTGTTCTGTGTTTCCTCTCACTGAATTGCTGTTGTTCTGCTGACTCGTTTCACTCTGAATGTGGTTTGCTTCTGAAGAAACATTGGTGTGATGAAGTTGCTTTTCATGCTCCATTAACAATAAAGCCATGCTGTCTTTTCTCGTCTGCTGTGGCTTGCTACTAGGATTTGTCCACCACCGTGATGTTCAGGCTGCTCAGCACCATGTTGGGATTCTTTGTCAAAACAAACAAAACATTTGCAGCCTGAAATTGTCACTATGGGCCAACCTGTTGCTGGCATTTTGGTCTAGAGGTGGTATATTGAATATTTGGCCTAGCAGCCCTGGGGTGAAATTGCAGTCACAGACACTGAAAATCATACTTCCCTTCTTAGCAGTTAAGGTATATGAAGAAGGCATATTGCTCAGGCAATTTTTCAAATTATCTTACTGATGTCTATTGGTTTCTTCTGTCTGTGATGCCATTAATTTTAAAATCAGTTCTCTTCAGAGATAAGCTTGCTAGAGCTTTGATATACTGGATTAGTAGGACTTTGTAAATATATTGTCAAACAGAAATAATGTTTATCACATTTTCTTCTATCTATATACCTTCACAGAAAAGTTTGGTGGTGTAATACTTACAAGTTTACAAACAAGATATTTTGATTTTTGGAGTTTTGGAAAACTCCTTCTGTTGTAATTAATTTGATGTATTAGGTTCTTTTTGCCCACCTGACCATATTTTCATGCCATTGTTGGTGATAAATAATCTGAAGAAGGAAATTTTAAATGAAGTGATTTAAGATTCTTTATGCAGTCCCTGTCTGTGTGGGAGATAGGTCAGGTAATAGTAATAAGAGGCAGGAGAGACCAGTATTTGCAAGCTGTTGGTTCTCCCAAAAGTATCTGAGGCTGGACTTTAGTGCTGCGGTTAGAGGATTGGAGAAATTTATTGAAACATGTGGAATTGAGCTCTGAGAAGCTTTTCTTCAGGTAGATCCTGGGCCTTAGGCATATCCTGGAAAAACCCTGGGAGAAACCAAGTCTCTTGTAAACCCTGTAGGCCACTTAGCTTGGACTTCAGTGATGGCTTGGCTTAGGCAGTAAGACTCTATCCTGCTCGGTTCTTCTGGTACTGACGTGTGAGTCCGTGCCCTCTGAAAGGCAAGCAGAGAAGCTGGAGTTTATGAGGGTATGTAGGACAGTGTAGGCTGTGAAACAAGGGCAAGCGAAGCAGCATTTGGAGTTGTGGGATTCTACACTGCCCTGAGTGTACATTCTGGGCGCTTGTTGTAGTTCATTTTAATAGCTAGACTCCAAGCTAAAATGTCTCTGTTCTTCCATTTGACCTCCTAATCTATTCTGGCATCTGTTTTCTTTTTATTTTTTAGGCCATGACCTGGTGTCCTTGGCAGTCAAAAGTCCTTGCTACGAGGTGGAATGAAAGATGGGATTTGTGTGTCTGGCCCATGAATTGTGAGAAAATCATCCAAAGTGCAATTACAGATTCACAGGTGAAATGATGAAATGTCTGCATACTTAGGCTATGCTCTTTTTGTATAGCTGTGCTCATTTGGCAAACTCCCACTGACTTTGAGGGTGGTTCTGCAGTGAGAGGAACAGCAGGATTTTCTCTGGATGTGCAATTGTGCTGTGTTCAGCACCACCGTGTGTGATTGACTCAGAAGCAGTTTGTTGTTTCTCCTTCACCACTTCTGTCTCCATGCAGAAGTGATTGAAGAGGAGATAGTCTTGAAGCCAGACACTTTTCATCACCTTTCCTTGCTGGCAATAATAGCTTTGGCCAAAATTCTAAATGCAGAGAGAATGCTGAAAGGGAAGAAAAATTCCCAGAGCATTGGGGTGAGGAGAGGTGTAGGAGTCAGAGAGAAAACATCTGTTTCTGGAGTTTGAATATTAGGAGACAGAGCAACAGGTTCTCAGCTGTAGTAAAGCAGCATAACTTGGTTTGCTGGAGCTACTACAACCTAGATGAGGATGTGTTTTGAGGGTCTTTTTAAACTAATAGGTTGTTACCATGTTTAGATAGGACAATGAAACAACCATATTTTGAAGAGTTGAAAACAATTAAATAGCCCTTCTAAATAAATAAATACTCTGCAATTTCAAATCTCTGAATGATATATGCTAAGCCCTTCTGTAAATTAAAGCAGAATTTTATATTGCATTAGATTTCTTCCTTGCTCTGGTTTACCCAGTAAACTGACAATGGGACAAGGCCTTCCTGGAAATCAAATGAAAATATGGAAGTATCCCATGCTTGTCAATTCATTAGAACTCTAATGCACAATCCTGATTTGTGGGCTTGTAAAGGCTGACTTAATAAGACTGTGATATAAATTATTTCTGGGAAATTCCTTGTTTTTAATGCTGGAATCCTTTTCCATAATTCCTAAGGCCGTGCCAGGTGCAGGATGTGTATTTCCACTTCTTTCTAAGGCTGACTAGGCCAGGGTTGAATGTGTTAATGTCAGGTGGCTTCCAGTGTCTTCTGGCTGATGACCTTCTGGACAACACAAACCAAATGTGATTGCTTTTGCATCTCGTGATATAAGGATACTGAACCAGCTTTCAAATGACATCCAAACCACATCTCCATGTGTTATTTAGACACGTCTGTGTTTTGATGAAGGATTTTGCTGTGAAGAAATGTGGTGCAGAGTGTTTCCCTTGCACCCTGCCAGAGATAGTGAGGTTTCCTTATAGCTCTGTATAGTTCTGTGGTGCTGTAGGGCTACACCATATGCAGAGGTTGTTTCTTGCTATTAAGCCTCCTTATCTCTGGTGTTATTCATGAACAGAAAAGACCAGATCTTTGCTACACAGATATCTTCCTGCTTATGAAGAGTCCTAATATCTTACTGTAAGAAATTAATATTGGAAAAAATTGTGGATGAATCAAAATATGACCAGAATAAATGCTGTGATGGATGATTGCGACTTAGATGGTTCTAAGTCAGCTTCAGACATTTTAACCACATATGTTTTACACCCACAGAAATGATCTGACAAACTGTAACTAAATTTCATTTAATAAGTATCTTGCAAATGCTGAAGACTCTAGCTAAGAATGAAGACCTATCAGCAGGAGTTGAGCACTTTAATAATTAAGGTTGACTGTCACCGAGCATATTCATAACAGAATGACAACTGAAACATAGTAACATTTTTATAGAACTGGATAAGTTTTTGAGATGCTTCTGACAGAACTATTAGAGTAATTTACTAGAAAAGAAAAAAGGAAAAGGAATAATTTTGGATATAACCTCCACTCATTAGGAAAGTTGTTGTAGGTCAATGAGAACATACAGGCAAGCAAAATATGTAATTGCTTTGAAAATTTTACCTGACCTGAACATGGTATTGAAACCACGAAATAAACCTAGAAAACAACACTCAAAACCCATGCAAATGAATAATTTCATCTTGTCTGATTTCTCCCTATTGCCCTCCAGTGCTTTTTGGCTTAAACTGTAATCAAATTTCAATCAGTGTTGTGGATAGTTTTGGGTGCCTCCAAAGATTACAACTCAACATCCTCCTTCAAAGTCATTACAGACACTGAACAGACCCAGCATAAAGAATTCACTGAGTAGTAAAATCTCAATCATAAGTATGGAAAAGATTCTGTGTATTTCAATCACTTAAGAAGGAGCAAAGCTAGAAAATTGATCTGCTGAAATAATTTACTGGTGTTGAAATTCAAGTAAAAAAAGTTTAGCAGGAACTCATGTAGCTCGGCACCAGGACAGCAGGCATTTGCATTTAGTCATAGTGTTTATAGAGAGCCACTGTACCAGCTTCACAATTTAAGGGCAGACTTTGCATTGGCAACAGTCCTGTGGGCCTCCATCAGGCACCACAGGGCTGTACAGTTCCTCACATGTTTATCCTTAGAGTGTCTTCAGCTAGAGGATTGCCATTCTCTTGTGTTCATGGAGAATTCAGGTACAAGTGATGGGAGGACACAGGTCACTCACATTCTTTTTAGCTGGTCACACATGACTTCTTACTTTCATGCTTCCTTTTAGGATGTGGTTTATCTGATCTGCTTTAGAAACTATTACTCATAAGATTTTTTCTCTTGGGGGTTTAGCTTACCAGTGTGATTTTCAGTAACTCACCCATCCAGAAAAGACAAAGTCCAGTAACTTCAAGGAAAAAAGCTTCCAGTTTCTCTTGCTGCCATGTGCCTGAAAACCTCACATGTTTTCCTGGCATTGGCATGGCTCTAGAAGATACAGGAAGTCTATGGCAGAGCAATGAGGTAAATGCAACTCTCAAGAGTCCCAGTTTAGTTTCAGACTCTTTCTACCTTCAGTTCAAGTTCGTTGGCTGCTTGTGGGTGAGATTTTTGTATAACCACGTTAATGAGTTTAGTACATTCTTTGTGCTGCTAGACTGGGTAGCTTTCTGCTTTCCACGTGTAGCTCCCAAGATTTACTACAACTGCAGACAAACTCAAAACACAATTCCACTAAATGGCTTAGTGGAGTCACTGTTAAAAGATCTCTTTAGCAGTAATAACTGAGCAGCTGGAGACAGCATCTCATTATTGTTGGATCAGCTGCTGCAAACTGTCTGCAAGGCCTGAGCAGCCAGATGGGAAAGCTCAGCAGAGACAGACATTACCAAACACAGATGAGACTGACGTTGTGAATGCATGGAGAACAATAGTTCAGGTTCAATGTGTTCCTTTGGCAGAAATATCTCCTCAAAATGGTGCAGACAGTTAAAGCCTACTCCCTATTAAGAATATATTTCCTTCAGCTCCTTATTTATATGAAAATAATAGAGGATGATAGCTTCCCACATCCTATGCAGCATGTTTGCTGCAGTAAAGTGGAACAAGCCATGGTGTGGGTGGTGAAAATGACTGGCATAATCAGTGTAGAATTCTGATGTATCTTTCCTTTTCTTTTGTACATGTTTTATTTTCTAGGTCACAAAGGGATAATCTTGCATATAACCCTGAGCTCAGATCAGAGTAGGTTCATTTTTGTTGCAGTGGATGGGATGTCTTGTGTGTAAAAACAACATGGGTCTGGGGAGAGCATGCACAGCAACAAAGCTTTTTAATAACAGTTATTTGACCTCATTCCTGTGACTTTTTTTCTTGAAAGCCAGTGATTAATGTATTCAGCCCATTCAATAATTCAAAATATGTGTCTTCCTTCCAATAAAAACATGGCAAAGGACAGTACAATTTATTTAAAAGAACAAATTTTCTTATCAGTCTGTTATGTGAAATCTTAGTAGCTTGTCTTACCCTAAAGGAAAAATATCCTAACTCTGAAGAATAATGTAATGTATATTTCAATTATGTTAGCAAACATGGAAGGAATCCAACCTGTGTAAAGCACCAGCATAAATTGTTAGATTCAACTTTTATCTTGGATTCTAGCAATAAATTTTGCATTACCTTAGCATCCCCATTGGTAACCACATACTAATTTATGTATTTTGCCTGGAATAGTTCAGAGACTATAGTGAGCAGAGACCAATCAATCTTGTTCTGTGTATCACATAAATTGTTGTATGGAATCTGTCTAAATACTCCTAGAATTCTAGGTTAAATATATAATTAAATAGAAATGATTTACAAGGAATTGTTTATTGTTTTCATAATGGTAATGATAACTAGCATAATTAGGAAAATGCCTTAACTGATTTTTAATGGCTTCCTTTCCTTGAACCCACCAAATATATTTGACAGTGATTTAAATTACAAAAAATTGCATAATAATTCTATTATTATGCATCGTTATGTAATAATCTAATTAAGAATTCAGATGGGCATAGTCAAAGGAACATGCTATTTGGGCCAAACACAACAGTTAGTTCATTTCTTAAGGGTACCAGTTCAATTCTGGTTGCCAGCAAACAGTGCAGCTGTCACTGTATTGTGAATTTTATTTAGTGCTCACAAGGAATAAAACCCTTGGACTTTAACATATGTTTGCCTTGCAAGACTTGTAGAGTGCCAACAGCTAAGTAAGGCTGTCAGGACTGGGCCTCAGAAGCTGTTCAGATACAGAGCAGTAGTGCTATTCATTGTGTTCTGCCTACAAGCACCTTTGGAGCTTTGTTGTCATTGTTAGGAATTATCAGAGGTAAGGGGTAAGGCTTCATTCCTGCGTTTTTATATTTAAAGCTTCCTGAGCTCAGAAACTTGTATTGTTTGGATTCCTTTCTTTTATCACTTTTTCACAACTGGAAGTTTATTTAGAATGCTTCCTGTAGCTGGGAAAGATTAGGATATTAGGGGACCAGAGCAGAGCCAGTCTGTGGAAAATTACACTGTGGACAAATGCAGAAGAGACAAACAGGGGCACAAGTTATCTCTGTAAATGAATGTGAAACCATCATGTCTTTAGTTCTCATGATTTTTAAAACCTCATCTTGTGCTGCTCACAAGTTATGTGGTCACTAAATTTAACTTTGGAACGTTGAGACCACTCATCTCTTTTACCTAGTAAGGGATTGCAATAAACCTCCTACTCAGCTACTGGGCTCTCATGTCATCTCATGTGGTCTTTAAAGCAGATTAGAAAATGCTAATATTGGTTGTCAATTGAGAAATAGCTACCAAGAAGCTGATGTCTAAGTGTGGGAAATAGCTTATATTGTGTCTATCTTCTAATATGAACAAGTTTGTTTCTGGAGATTTTATCAGACAATTAGAATCTGATTTAAATACTCAAAATGGTATTTTAAGTAATTTAAAAGGTTTTAGGAATATTAAAAATATTTCCCCCCATTTTGAATGTTAAAAGAATGAGTAGAATTAGTCTCTTGCTCATGCACTTTTTTATTTGCCCAGAAATTCTCTCTTTTCTTTTGGCAGCACCTAAATGATATTTATATGATATGATATTTGCTATTTATATCATTTATATCCAGTATAGTAGGAGATGCATGACAGAAAATAAGAGGCCGTAGCATGGAAGGACCTGTCTAATACTGAAACCATGCACATTTGGCTGGATGCTGAAGTGTCAAAAATAAGAAAGCACATGTTTCTCAGCCTAAGAACTTCTCATATTTTAGTTACTTACTGCTCATTGTTGACAAGTCAAGCTGTATTGCCCCAGATGTATTTAAGCACAATATCTAAAAGTGGGAGAAGCTACTGATTTCAAAAGTCCATAACTATGAGAGGACCTTGTTTGTGTGACCTGTAGATCCATTACGTGACCATGTCTGAGAAGACATCTAAGTGTGCATTCCAGACTGTAACTAATTTGAAGTGAAATTAAATGTATACTGTAGTGCTTTTTTTCTGAATGTGCAGAGTGTGAAGCTGCTGAAAGTTGACCATGTTCTTGCACAGCTGCCTCATTCTGCCAGTGCAGAGGTCTTAACATACAAAGTCTTGGTCAAAATTTGAAATCCTGAATTCCTCCCTGTAGAATATGGCATTCTTTTAGCTCATTGACAGTTACATGCCTGGTATGGTGCTCAGGCCCATGATGAGAAGAAATCAGAAGTCATTTCCAAGAAGTCAACTTGTTCTTCGTCTATGGTCTGTATGCACTGAAAACTGAATCTCCAGGGGTGGCACAGAGGTTTAAGAAAAATTAGGTTGACTAAAATCAGACCTTCATCCCTCCTGTCCAAGATGGAGCACTGTACAACATATAGAATCCAAAAATAATTTTTGCCGGAAGAAAAACTTCATTGCTCATACAGTACATGTGTCTTTCTTCTCTGATATATTAATACGACAAAACAATTGTCTGGAATATAACGACTGAGGAATCCATTTGTTCCCACACTTAAAAGCACTAAGTCTAGCAGACATGCCCTGTTCTGCCCCTACATGATCTGACTTGAAGCTACCTGCGTATATGTTATGTTACATGAATTTGTGTGATGCAGTTTATACCTGTTACTTCCCTCCAATTATCTCATATAGGCAGACTGAGAAGCAAACAATGACATCAAATTATCATAGCATTTTTCTTAGCTAGTGTGGGTTCTGTTCCATAGTGAACAGAAGCATAGGTGAAACTCTATGGTGAATGGGCTCATATCATGCCTCTTGAGCAGAGAGCTCCCCATCTAGAGGAAAATGCAGTTCTCTCTTGCTCTTGCTGCTTCTTTTTTCTACAGGTTTATGCTACTGGCAGTAGTGACAGAGGGTGAAATTTTGTTTTTGCCATGTAAGTCCAAACTCTACAGGCTTTTGCACAAATCACTAAAAATATCTATGTAAAAAAAAAGCCCCATTTTAAAAGTATTTTGGAATAGGTCCTAAATTTCAAGGTGGAAGAGGAAGGCTGCACATGTGTCTGTAGCACATTTCTTCATGGATTAAAAACTTCTCCTTGGTCAGAACCTGTCCTTCCTGACCTCTAAGGTTCTCCAACACTTGGTTCAGAACCACCATCTGGAAAATGGAGAAATACTGAATTGCAGGGCTTGAGAGGGATTTTCCACTGACAAGGGTGCTGTTTGTGACTTTTGGGGAAAAAGAAAAAATCATACCGAAAAGGAAGCAGAATGAAGAAATAATGCAACAGCAAGATGAAAGAAAGGCAGTGAAAACAAGAGCAAAGAAATGAAGTAAGACTAATGCATGGGAAGAGTGAAACAGCCCTAGGTGGGCTACAGATTGATAAGGACATTTTTGTTTCCTGAAGGTTTTTAGAATATTTGCCTAAGCAGGGGTTAGGTAGTTTGCAAGAATAAAAAAATACTGAATTTTCTTATTTCCTGTGTGTTTAAACACAGAATCAAGTCATTGCTTTGGGTGTTGGCAGCAGTCAGTGTGTCAAATTCTCCTCTCAGTTTCACTGATGCAATCTTATTTGTCTGAGAATATTTTTCTCTGCTTCTGCTTTGTTTTTGTGTTTGTGCATCCCTTTGGGTGTACATATTGTATGTTCAGACCAAGAGTGAAAAAAACCATTTATGAATAAGAATAGGAATGTGGAAAGTTCTGACTGTGTAATGTTTTGTAACAAAGGGAAAAAAAGATGTTTTTCATAATCAAAATTTCCAGTAGAGATCCCTGTAGTTTAGGCTTTCTTTGTCTTCATCCTTCCTTACTTCTCTGTGAGAAAACTACTGTCTCTTCGTAATGAGATCAGGTAAATGCAGTTGTGTAAAAAAGTTCCAGTTTGTGCTTTCTCATTGTGTTTTTAAGTAGTGCTTAATTGTTTAGGATGGATGGAGCAATAATTTTAAAATTAAAATCATGCAAAATATCTCCACCCTTGAATGTTCCCTGCTTTCTCTTAGGTAATGTCTACCTCCAAGTAAAAACCTCTTGAAGCAACACAAAATAAATCCAAGCCCTTCTTGAGGTGCTCATGGCATTAAAAATGTTCAAGTCTGTTAATACAGAAGCAGGCAGAAGCATTTTTCACAAGAGGTCTATTTGCTACTTGAAAAATGCTTGATGAAGCATTTAAAAATTTCACTGTATGTCTGAAACAGCAGTACTGGCATCATAAAATTAAGAGTGCTTTATATTATCAACAGCGCTGTACCATATTGATATGGTCATGTAATTTCTCTGAAGCATGGGTTTTCAGAAGATTTTTTAAACACAATGCTGCTTATTTTGGTATGTTTTGCAAACATTTAACACGCATGGAACATTACACAGATAGTAAACAGATCCTACAGATAGTACATAGACTACCTATGCTGCAAGAGACAGAGCTTTCCACATAAATTGACAGCTGAAAGCAGTAGATTTTTTATTGCCATTGCAAAGTACATAAACTGATAAAATCTAGAGGTTCCAAATACAAGACAGTTAGAAAATTAACACCTATGTCCCAGCGTTGCTGCAATTTAATTTTCTGAAGCTTTACAATCCACTACACCAATAAAACCAAGAGCTTTGCTGCAGAGAAACGAAGTTTTTTAGGCGTCTGTACCCGTACCTAGCACACCACTAACTTTCAGGGTTTTTGCAGAAGTCCAGGTACAAAAGAGTGCTATATACCAGACAAGGAGTGAGGACCCAAACAAGGATTAGGTTCGTGGTTTGAAATACCAGTCCGTGTAGAACTCAG